GAAGTTCAAAGATCCACACCACTGGCTGACCTTTTTCCCGCCTCTGGCTGTGGAGGATTTGAAGGCATTTGGTTTGGGATGTGATTGGAGGCGAACTTTTATCACAACTGATATGAACCCTTATTTCGATTCATTTGTTCGGTGGCAGATGAGGAAATTGAAATCAATGGGTAAGATTGTTCAGGACTTGAGATATACCGTATATTCACCTTTGGATGGGCAGCCTTGTGCTGATCATGACCGGTCTTCAGGGGAAGGTGTTATTCCACAGGAGTATACACTCATAAAGATGGAGGTCGTCTCACCTTTTCCACCAAAGATGAGTGTTTTGGAGGGCAAGAAGGTATATCTTGCTGCTGCTACATTGAGACCAGAGACCATGTATGGGCAAACAAAATGTTGGGCTGTGCCAGATGGGAAATATGGGTCTTTTGAAATTACACTTTTTAACATATGATAATATAATCTAGCTTAAGANGTATGGGCAAACAAATTGTTGGGCAGTGCCAGATGGGAAATATGGGGCTTTTGAAATTACACTTTTTAACATATGATAATATAATCAAGCTTAAGAAGTTTTTGATTCAAACTCTGCTCATTTCATATTTAATATTAAATGTTTAAACATTTGTTGGATTAACCGATCGAAATTGAATCAGAATGAAGCTAAAAGTTCTAATGAACCTAATAATTATTCCACATCAACATTGTTTCGGCCACTTGATCAGTCATAAATGAGTTTTATTCAAGCTACTCTAACGGGGACTAATAACTATATGCAAACGTTCCCAACTATTGGCTGCTGACAACTGTAAAGTGTTGGTTTAAATATGATTATCACAAACCCAATCAACNCAGTCATAAATGAGTTTTATTCAAGCTAATATAACGAGGACTAATTCCTATTTGCAATCGTTCCCAACTATTGGCTGCTGACAACTGTAAAGTGTTGGTTTTCATTTGATTTTCACACACCCAATCAACCCACATATGCAATCTATTTCTAAAGCCATAATGTAAGTAATTCATCAACAATCAAGAACTTAATAAACTCGTAAGTTGACCACTGGAAATGCACAAAATAACCAGGGCAGCAATTGAAAGTAATGAAGCAAAAATATACAAGTTCAAAAATGGAAATGCACAGAATAGTCGAGGAAGCAACTGAAAGTTTTAAAGGAAAAATAAACAAAGATATTTCACATATCACTAAGACTGAAAAAATTAGTGCGAAATGGACATTGTTTAAAGAAATATACCTGAATTACGTAGAAAGTGCCTTTACGAAAAGATTATACAGTTGTCCTACATCATCAAAACGTAGAAGTTAGTGTGAAGCACATCCGAAATATTATCTTGTTTATTTTATCTTTTTATTGAAAGATAAATGCTGGTTAAGATCCACAAAAAAAAAAGGCCACTTGGTACAAAGTTAGGTGTTTTCAAATTAGATTTTGATAAGAGTTCATTAAAATGTAGGGGTCCTAATAATTTGTAGACCTCAAAGAAATTCAGTAAGTAGAAGAATGTCAATAGAATATAGTAGATTTCGAACCTATCAATTTAAATACCTAACTTTTTACGAATTTTAGCATGACACCTTATATTTCAATTAATTTTGACCTCATAAATATAAAAATCAAATTATTTATACCTTTAACAAATATAAATGAAATGAAAATAAAATAATTAAGTGAGAAATAGAACCCAAATCTCATTCAAAAAAATCCGTGGACAATCCCGAACAGCTAACATAAGTCCAGACACAATGTCCAATGTCCCACATATTCGATTCAAAATCAGATTTTTTTTGTGCAATTAACGGCTGAAATGATAACTAATATGCTCCAATATGTTAAAACAAACGAAACAGAACTTGTTACATGAATCTTCCATCTGCTTCTTTCAGTATTTTGTAATGACATTAGGAATGATATAGGAAATTAGGAGCAACCATGGTGCCCCATGTCTAATTTCTACCCAAACTATTTAACATCCTAAAGTGCGTCCACCTACTTCGGCCCATAATCACAAATCTTGGACCCTACAGATTTGTTCACATGGTACATATAGCAAACCTCCTCCTGGTTAAACACAAACTTATATTTAAATACTGGGTTGAGCCTTAATTTAGGAGCACCTACATTGTAGACAGCATCAAGATGATATCATCCATCTTTATATCAACACAAGATGTTATATCCAAAGTTATTTTCTTTAACAAACACAAACCTAAATGTACGCATACTACATGGACTCATCATATATTTTCGCATTTAGTACTACACTACAGTTTCAACGCCCCATGGCATTGAACTTATTTAATCAAAACTCAGTTAAGCAAGATGCAATAATTTATTCCATCATTTTTATTCAATGGACCACAACGAGTAAAATGTAAACCGCTATGCTTCTAATATAATATAAAACTATAAAGAACAAAAAGTTTAAACGACTTCAAAATTTAAAACTAAACTACACTAATGACATCTAACCAAATCTACTGGAATTGGGACTCACAAGTTAAAAGAGACCCAAAATCCGTAGAAAAAGAACTCCCATAACACTGTCAAGCATATAAATCATAGCCAATAACACCACATTTAGTCCTTTTACCCAAAAGAAAAAGACAAAGTCGGTATTCTCCAACTTTCACTGCATTAAAAGATAAATTTCATCTCAAGAACGAGGGACTAAACATTATTTTTAATAAATTTGAAGTAGGCTAATTATGTACAGAACCACAATGCAATCTATAATACTGGATTGTGTCCCAATAATTGGAAAAAGATTTGGCACTCAACCACTAACTAAACTTCATCAAACTTCACCAAATTGCCACTGTTTACTTCCTTTATACATAAAGATGATGGTATGTTCTTCAAAATAATTGAAAAGGGGGACATTTAAATGAAATTCAAGTCAAAACATCTTCCAAACACCACCTCGAGTTCATAGAATGCACTTGGAAGCCAAAGAGCACAAATTTTTCATGTTTTTTGGAAAACTACCACAAAAGAAGTTTTGAAGAAGTATGGTAGTTTTCCACTTGAGTGCTTGATGGAATCAAGCTGTCNAAGAGCACAAATTTTTCATTTTTTTTGGAAAACTACCACAAAAGAAGTTCTGAAGAAGCATGGTAGCTTTCCACTTGAGTGCTTGATGCAATCAAGCTGTCACTGCAATTTTTTCCCTTTAAAGATGGAAAATTGTGGATAAATAATATTGTGCAAAAGATCTTTGGTTAATACATTCCTATGGCATTTTATTTTCTGAAATTTGAAGTAATTGGATAGTCCAGTGTAATGAATCCCCACTTTTGAGTAAATCACATATTGTAATTTTTTAGTTCTTTGGTGACCTCATTTGTATAGCCTATAGAATATTAAACAATGTGATTCAATTTTAGTAGAATTTGA